GTTTTTTCAAAGTTAGTTTGATATGTGAAGTGGTATTTGTTAGTGGATCGCTCCATACGCGTAACTAACGGCGTTTTCTTTTTTACAACTTGCCTAACACACCGTATGCCCTTTCGAAAATGCTACCTAACGGAAATGTTTGCCCTTACTTCAGCTTTGGTCCTTAGAGATTCGATAGACAACATGCATTTTGAGATTACTGATGGTGTGTTGAAGCCGCCTCATTTGCGAATATAATCAATTACATTCTGTCACACGTTTAACGACTGCCTGGTGACGCGATTGGAATCCATAAGTCAGACTTACATTATGCTGTAAACTGGCCTGACTAAACATTGAATAAATACCGTAAAAAGCAATTTAAACTAAATTGCCGGTAGTTCTCCAGGCTTTTGATCCATAAGAATCCTCGGGGTGGAAAACGGGATAAAAGAAGGAAAGGTTCTGTTGCTTATGAGAAAACAATTAGTACAAATCGACACAAATAAATAGGTCTTAGTAAGGTGGGCTCATTCAAGCATGAGTGAATGAAGCTTCATGAAGCGATACCACGGCGAACCGAATTTACAGATTTTCACGATACAGTGCGTTTTCATGTTATTTTATTCACGTATCAATTCAGACTGCGTAGAGAACCTGACAGTGTAAATCTGTAAGTATTGCACTTCTGTCCGATTCGCTGATTTGTTTAACGCTGATTAAGTGCATTAATTTTTGGTTCTTTCACATGTACTTCTTGTGATAGACTTGGTGCCTTGGTATTAGTAGTTAATAGCATTAATTGTATTTTCCTCGCTACTGGATTATTCTTCCATGCTGATGTAGTATACTGTTGAAATACATGCATTCTTGTCATTTCGATTTGAGTGATTACAAACTAAATTACGAATGTGCATGGTACATCAAAAGAATTCAATTCACTGCTCGCAGAGAGCATCGTTTGATGTGTCACAAGAAGGGTTAAATCAAACGGCTGATGCAAATGACCACCGTTCAACTATGTGCATTCAAACGGACGGCCGTATGACTGCGCACTGACAATATCCATCAGTTTCTGCTCAAAGCCTGCGCCAAAACAGCTGTCGAAACGTTTCATTTTTCACTAAATGACCTTTCAGCGTTCTTGTCTCACAGCAAGGACGGGGCGCGTCGATGGGTCTTTTGTGTCGCAATCTCAAAAATTTCCAAACTTTTAAGTAATGTTATGGGGTCTGGCTCAGTGTACTGTAGTATTCTTAGCATTTTATTGTAGTTTCTGTTTGTTTGTTTCTTTTCTTCCTGTTTTGTTTTTTATTAATCGAAATTGTAAAAATATTTTTTCCTTTCGTTGTTCAGTTATACTGAATGTTATTTTCTGTATTTTGTATTGTGATTCTGGTATTTATGCTGTAAACTCGCACTGATCGATCATGGCGTCCATATAGCAGACGCGTAATCTCAACCTCTTCAAATCTTCATTTTCTTTTGCCTGTGAGTCTTCACCTTTCACTCACTGGATAGAGGTCATAATTAAAAGATGATTGGTATCTGTTTTTATTATTGTGCCTTGACAAGCCCAGTATGACTCCAGATGTTGGCGATATAATGAAATACATACATGCATACATATTTGTATCTGTGGTCCTTTTTCTCTAACATATTGTGCTTTCGGTTCAGGATTCAAGAATAGCACGTTTACGATGTGCGTCTACCTCACGAACTTGAGTAGCTCAGCCAGCAAGTTGTCAATGGCAGCTGCGGGATATGTAGACGATCCGTACATTAAACATTTCGCTGATCGTACGGAGCGAAGAACTTCACTAATTAATCGGTAATGTATACTAAATTTATTGCCATGTTCATCTACATTTGCGCATTTTTTCAGTGGGTACTTTATTCGCATGTGGGCCATTGACGATGCAGTAGAGTGCTTTATAGCTAATCATCAGCCTCCTTTGCAAGTTGGTATCTTCTTTGTAAATATAACGATTGCGTTACTGTTGTGGGCGAAATGGTATAAATCGCAGTTTTAGGGTTATGGTAAATCATTTTGTGAGAAAACAAAATGATTTAAACCTGAGTTGCTAAGCTTCTGATGAATGGGTTTACACTTAGGACTGGTTTTTAAAGTTTTTCTGCATCATACGTTTCGTCCAAACAATACTCGTAATCATCCAAGCAAACTGAGCAAAACCGACATTGGAACACACATTGCCAAACGTAACTTGTCCGGCTGGCAGTTAGTTAGCCCCTCTAGGCCGGTTGTTGGATGAATCGACTCTGGCGTTGCGTAACCCCTCTTTCTTCTCAATGTCTTTGAGATTCGTTTAATCCTTTTCAGTTTTATCCCAGTGTTGGCTCTTTCCAGAGATTAATTGCAGCAATTCAGTTCTCAATTGCACATTGCTGTATTAGAAGAAATCAATAGATTTAAATAAACTCAGTGCACGTTTTCTAGGCAGCTCGTACTAAATTTATATTATGCATTGGGCTTTATCTTCTTGTTCGCATGCAAACAAAATTTATATTCTGTTTTATTCTAAAGTCATTATAATATTGAATTTATATCGTTAAAAGAACTCTTAAGATATTCATTAGCGAACATTTAGTTTCTGCCAGATACACTGCCTTTGTCGCAGCCACTTGGAAAGGTAACAATTTGTTGAACAAGTAGTGTCGTAATGACAGATCAGCTAAGCAGTAGCGTCAGTGGTCCGATCCGAAGGTCGCTGCACATCACTGCGAACAGAATGACTGTTTTTTGTTTGGAGGTTTTGTTTGTTTGTTGTTGTTGTTTATTTGGAATAATGACATTTTTATACATGTCTGGGTAACATTTGTATTTCATCGACTTTTCCGTTATTCATTTCATAAATGACACGAAGATACTCATTCTTACCATTTCCTGATACGTTTCATCAAAGAATTTCTAGATTACCGAATCCATGCGTTCGTTGTGGATTAGTGCTAGCGATAAAGCCCAATTTTTCAGTCGGTTTTTAGTCACTATTCTTCATTGAGACAGAGTTGCCTTAGGGGCACAAATAGGTTTTTCAGTGCTTGCTTACGTCTGCTTTGTTAGCCGTATGTTTTAAGGTTTATGATGACTGCCGTTCACTGTTACAGAAAAGACTCCACGGCACTAGGTTTTGAATGTAATTTCTTGCCCTGATCGTTGCTCATTCTCAGCGGCGAAGACGTTCAACGATGGATTTGTAAACAGCTCGAGGATTCTTAAGTTTCCTGTTGTCTGTTCTGTGTATGTCATGTTTTCAGTAGTAGCAAATGCAGTCGCAATGCAGTCGTAAATTCATGGTATTAAAGGTTCATTTTAAAGAACACGGCTTTGAATTTAGATGAATGAACGAAATTATGTTGCTTAAACTTTTCATTTTCAGTCACTCTAGCCACGTAGTACGTATATGAATGATGGCTGAGTTCTTTCTCGGTGGTTGAGTTACTGCCGTGTATAATTACCTGATCTACGTTATGATCATACTGAGGGGCGGATTTTCATATTAAACTTTTATCAGACACAAGTAAGTGCAGTTTTTTAAAATATGTTTCTGTTGTAAGACGAGAAAGAACAGACTAAGAAAAATATTTTCACATCAGTTTCTAGCGGTTACAGCGCTCTGTATCTTCCAGTATTGCCCTTGACTGTATTTTTTCATTGAATTGCAGGGTTGATTGTTTATCCTTTGAGTAGAGCCATCTCTAAAAGCCGTGCTTAAAGCTGAAGCACAGATAAATAACAGTAAAATGGTACTAACAAAGTCATAAACGAAACTACTGCTCTGTTGAATTAGATTCACATAGCTGAAAGTGGCATCAGACTATTTTTAGGGTTCATATCTTGACGAGCATATCAGATTCATAAGCGGGAATCGACCACCAAGGTGGCAAGTAAAACAGCTTGTTGGACTCGGCGCACGGTCTGAGCAGTCAAAGGGCAGTTGGGAGTTAAAGTAGTGACAGTCAAGAAAAGCGGCAAACTGGCGTAGAAATTCAGTCGCACATTTGTGATTCGTCGTCTCTGCCACCGTTCATTTGTTAATCATTTTTCAACCCTATATTTGAAAGTGAT